CGAAATGGCCGACTGGCGGCCATTTTGTTAAAGAATTCAGTTCTGGATCCGTATCCAAGACATGTCTGGATTGATCAAGTTCAAACTTCACACACACATGGTACATCATGTCACAAATAGATATGTGCATTTGTTTCATGATCTGCTTAACAATAGCGGAATGATGGCCATTTTAAGGCCGAAAATGCATCAAAATCACGTATTTTCACAATTCCAGAACCGGATCTCAGTCATGCATGGATGGATTTTGTTCAGATTTAGCACAATGTGTTGTACATATGCAGGTGCATTTCGGTCATGATCTGCTTTGAATGTATATGTCACTCAAATATGAACGGAACGGGGACGTGTCATTGACAATGACTTGTTGTTCTTTGTGTTGACTCGCTTTAATATTCACAATATTTTGTTTTCATGAACACAACCAATCAGCTGGAATAACATCCAGTGATTGTAGTATTCTCCAAATAGTTAATGTACATTTTTAACGAATCAACGTGAACAAATTACCCCTGTCATGTCATTGTCAATCCTAATTGTAGTATTTCAAATAAATATTACAAAATAATTTCTAGTTAATTCTGCCCTTGCACATGCTCTAACAGTTCAACTAGAAAATAAACAATACTGTATTTAATTTATTTAGAAGTGCATCACAAATATAAGCCAAAAATTGCTTTTATTCTAGTAAGACCAGATCATTCAAACATATTCTATCGTAACAATTGACTCACCTGCGACATTTTCATATAAATTGCTTTTTCTTCTAAAAGAAGGGATACAGCAAATTAATGACAAATTTTTATATTGAGAGAGTAATAAAATGAAACGTTTGACTACTTAATTTGCATCAATAAATGCTTTTATTTTGCAGGATATCAATTCTGTTGCTGTGTCACCTAATGATAAACTAATAGCTACTGGATCGCAGGATAAATCCGCAAAGATCTGGTCTTCCAACAAAGCTTCGCTGCTCGGTGTATGCCGAGGACACCGCAGAGGAATATGGTGTCTTCAGTTCTCACCTGTGGATCAGGTATGTCTGTTTATATTATTCACAATTACGACACTGCAATTGATTACCGACTTGTTTGAATGTGTTACCAACATGTTTGAATATGTTACCGACATGTTTGAATGTGTTACCGACATGTTTAAATGTGTTACAGACATGTTTGAATGTGTTACCAACATGTTTGAATGTGTTACCAACATGTTTGAATGTGTTACCGACATGTTTGAATGTGTTACCAACATGTTTGAATATGTTACTGACATGTTTGAATCTGTAACCGACATGTTTGAATCTGTAACCGACATGTTTGAATGTGTCACCGACATGTTTGAATGTGTTACCAACATGTTTGAATGTGTTACCAACATGTTTGAATGTGTCACCTGACATGTTTGAATGTGTTACCAACATGTTTGAATGTGTTACCGACATATTTGAATGTGTTACCGACATGTTTGAATGTGTTACCAACATGTTTGAATGTGTTACCGACATGTTTGAATGTGTTACCATCATGTTTGAATGTGTTACCGACATGTTTGAATGTGTCACCTGACATGTTTGAATGTGTTACCGACATGTTTGAATGTGTTACCAACATGTTTGAATGTGTTACCGACATGTTTGAATATGTTACCAACATGTTTGAATATGTTACCGACATGTTTGAATGTGTCACCTGACATGTTTGAATGTGTTACCAACATGTTTGAATGTGTTACCGGCATGTTTGAATATGTTACCGACATGTTTGAATATGTTACCGACATGTTTGAATATGTTACCGACATGTTTGAGTGTGTCACCTGACATGTTTGAATGTGTTACCGACATGTTTGAATGTGTTACCGACATGTTTGAATGTGTTACCGACATGTTTGAATGTGTTACCGACATGTTTGAATGTGTTACCGACATGTATGAATGTGTTACCGACATGTTTGAATATGTTACCGACATGTTTGAATGTGTTACCGACATGTTTGAATGTGTTATAGACATGTTTGAATATGTTACCGACATGTATGAATGTGTTATCGACATGTTTGAATGTGTCACCGACATGTTTGAATGTGTCACCGACATGTTTAAAATCGTCACCGACATGTTTGAATGTGTTACCAACATGTTTGAATGTGTTACCGACATGTTTGAATGTGTTACCGACATGTTTGAATGTGTTACCGACATGTTTGAATGTGTTACCGACATGTTTGAATATGTGTCACCGACATGTTTGAATGTGTTACCGACATGTTTGAATGTGTTATCGACATGTTTGAATGTGTTATCGACATGTTTGAATATGTTACCGACATGTTTGAATGGGTTACCAACATGCTTGAATGTGTCACCTGACATGTTTGAATGTGTTACCGACATGTTTGAATATGTTCCTATTAATTTAGAAAAATTGTGACATATTTACATCACCTTTGGACACTTTCTGTTTACGTCAGACGTACCACGTAAATAAGGACACATCACCGGATGCTAACAATTTTCGCTAGATCCCGCTAGATAACGACTCCAAGCGGGAACAGGTTAAATAGATATTGTTGACCTCTTTTCCACATCACTGTAAACGAAATCACTGTTTATTCAGTTTTATCCCCAAATGTTTGTATTCAAAATAAAATCTTTTATATTTGCTGACTGATGATTTCATGTGATTTTGTATTAACAAAAGAAATGTTGACAGCAGTTGTTAGCTAGTTCCATCAATTCATCACTTTATATCACCTGCTAAACTTCAAAGTGATCACTATTCTAAGTCACTACTACATGCAACACAATTTTTAAAGATATTCGTTAAGATGACTGCACAAATACATGTGCCAGACAGGTCAGGTAACACGTCATTCAGATAAGGTATTTTTTGCATTTAAAGGGTAGATGAATATATTATCTCACTAAATATAAAAATGGCAGTTTGACTTATTGTGCGACTTAAAAAAAACTGCAGACCATAGATAACTAAAAATAAAAACAATCTGTCTTAACCTCTCTTCTTGTTTTAATAATAGGTGTTGGCGACGTCTTCTGCTGATGGTACAATCAAAATCTGGTCTATATCAGATTTCACTTGCCTAAAGGTATGCTTATTATATCCATTATCGTGTTATATTAAAGGTCAGTCGTTGCCACGACGACGTGTGCATATGGGTTCCAAAAATTCATATACGATGAATGCATCAGTGAGTCGAATGCATTATTTCCACAAAATTTCAATGAATGTACACAATATCCACCTTTTAATTATACCTGTGTTTTTTTTAACTGACCAGAGTTTATTGTGCGTTTAGTCTTGTGAATGTCATAATTTAACCTGCCAAAAAGTTATAGAAAAATTAAGGAGCTTTTTGTTGTAATAGGTAGCAAAATTTTATTTTGGCAAATAGCTCACTTCTTATCAATGATGAAAATGTCTGTATGTATGTCTGTTAGTAAAATTTTATTAAAATTTGTGTTTTATTGTATTGTATACTATTCTATTTATTTTTTTTAATATTTATCACCTATAGATTTTTTTTCAATATTTTGTTATTTTTTCAATTATTTTTGTTCTTTGTTGTTTTTTTTAACTATTGTCACTAACTTGCCATTACCAAAACTAATAAAAAACTACTAGCAAATTAAAACCAAATGGAAATAACTAAGCCTGATTCTGTTTTATAATAATCAGATTGAAGCAGTAAGAATAGTGTACAGCTTATTCTTATACTATATTTGAACATATTTCGCCATTCCCAAATGTAAATTATTCCCTAATACCGGATTCTGCTGTAAATTCGCCCAGGGCCGTTAAACGGCAGTTCGGGTTTTTAAAAAAATAAATTGGGAAACCGCCCAGGGCGATTTTTCTGCATTTTTTTTAAGGTGTTATTTTAATCTGTGATGCCTAAAAGTTTCGCTGTAGTCATTGACGCCTATTCAAGAGTATTTATGTTTATTGCGACTAGCGTGAATGGGTTAGCTTTGTTTCCACAATGAGCTGTTATCGCTGTAAACAATGTTGAATTATACATGTTGAATTATATATAAAAATATTTGATGATAATTTTTTGAAAATTTGAACCCCAAATAAGAGCCCACCAGTCGTGAAACCGCCCAGGGTGATTTTTCGGATGGGCGAATTTACGGCAGAATCTGGTAATATGTAGTCTATTTGCTTTGGTCAAACATAATCAGATTCAGTTCAGTATTGTATATAACAGTGTGTTTAGGAATAATGAGGTATTACAAATTTTAATTGATTATGTCTATATTTGGTAAATTTGCATAAAGAGTTTTTTTTTCATAGTTTTTTTTTTTTTAATTTAACAATTTCAGACATTCGAAGGGCATGATAGTTCTGTTTTAAAGGTTATATTTCTGAGTCGAGGAATGCAGATTATGTCAAGCGGTTCAGACGGGTTATTAAAACTGTGGACAATTAAAACCAATGAATGCGTGAATACGTTTGATGAACATCAGGATAAATGTTGGGCATTGGTGGCTAAGAAACCAGGTGATTACATCATATCCGGAGCTGCCGACTCTACTCTTATCATCTGGCAGGTGATGTACATTTCTTTTTTTTGAAATATTATCATACTGTGAAATTAATAAAATATTTTTATCAAATTATCAAAATCAATCACTTCTTGCATTCCAGAATTTGAACTTTGCTCTATTAGTAGTGCACAAGCTTACCTCAATGACAAATGTGTGCTTATGATCATAATAAGTCATAGTAATAATTCAGCATACAGTGAATACAATTGTTGGCGTTTGTTTGCTAATATTAATGATGCTCTTCTAATATAACAAATACAATAATTAAAATTTTGTTCCTTGTATGTGACCAGTGACAAGTCTTGTTAGGCTATCATCATTTCAACCTCTTGGTAGCCAGAGTGTTGGGCGAGATGCAAATTGTCTAGTTAGACATCAAAATGTTTTCTATAATTCTTATTCCATGTTCTGTATTATTTCTGTGCAGCAATAACTCTGATGTTTAGTTTAGATTATTTGTATTCCTATTATATCATATGTGATCCTTATGACGTTATTACCGCGACCAGTGATTGGTTTAGAACTGATCTATCACAACTTGAGCTTCGGGTCATGTGACACTTGAGAACCTTGTGGTTCCACCATTATTATTATTATTTTTTTTTTGTTACAAGCTGATGTCGATGTTTCCAGTTTCATAGTTCAATAAATGTCAATCCTGACATGAAACTTTCCAACTTAATTGTTCCGACTCGTAGTATACAGTGGCTATACTTTGAGCCTAATCATGGCCACACAGCGGCTGGGTTGTTAGATTGGCTCATATTATTTTCACACTTCCTTATATAATTATAATAAGTATTTTTCTAGCAAAATGAATTCAGATCATAAAATTTACATGCAACATCAGTTTTAAAATTTGCGGTGTTTATGTAAATATGCATATTAAGCCAAAATCAAAATGCAGATTATATATATATACCGTATATATGAACTGATCACCAGTAATGCTCTTCCTGTGGTTGTCCTCCAAAAATAGGGATGATTCCTACCCTGGGTGAGTGTGCCACACAGTGTGCACTAGTAATACTGGTATGTTGATTCACTGATTGTTTATTGCATAACATAGTTATATTTTTTCGCATTTTAGGATGTCACTGAAATTGAAAAAGAGGAGATTCTATCTAAGCAAGAACATGATATTCTCAAGTAAGTCAAAATATAATTTATAGAAAATAAATATTGTTTTAATCAACTTAAATTTATATTGTATTTATAATTTATTCTTCAAAATGTTGTATGTAAAAAATACACATCTCTGTATTTGCTGTAGTAGAAGCACTTCTTCAATGTGCAGTTTTTAAACATTGTGCCACCCCAGTGAAATTTTCTGCAAAATTTGTATTTTACAACATAATTTTGTGATTTACAAAAGTATCTTCACCAGCCAAGGTTTGTTTATCCAGCAATAACCTCACCATTTTACCTTGGCAAATCCTGTTTAGCAAGTACAGCATGTTTTAAAGTGCGCCCTCTTTGGCAATTCAATATGCTATTTTGTTTTTATTTCCATTGCCGTGACTCTGGTGGAGCCCATGTTTAAATTTTGCGACCAATCAGATCTACGTATTTGAAGGGTGACCTCTTGGCAGAATCAATCATAGATTTGTATGTCAATGTAGAGTTCGTGAAACCACTCAAAATACAAAGTTTTTTTGTACTTTGAACAATTATAATAAATTCTGAAATTTCATCGTCATTTGTGTTCTACATACAGAGAGCAAGAACTATCCAACTTACTGCAACGGAAGAAATACTTGAAAGCCATCGGTATTGCTATCACTCTAGACCAGCCTTTCAAAGCTCTCTACATCATCAAAGGTATGGTCTGTTCTGGGTCAATATACTGACCAAACTCAAAGCGATTGAAATGGCTCACAGCGCTATGGGAATTTTAATTATTAATGGTTGACTGCAATGTATAATCAAAATTACTATACATTTGTCACAGTATCTCCATAAGTTAATGATTGTCATACTTTTGTGTATTCTGTGTATCTGTATTCTACCTTATTAGAAAATGCAAATTTGGAATTTTCAATGATTATGCATTTCCAAGTTTTGTTGAAATTAAGCTTACACCGAGAAATCTGATTTTCAAAAACAAATTAACCCGAAACATTTTATTTTATTTTTCTGGGTCTTATTCTAAAATTCACACTATCATCTCAAGCCCTATTGACCCAAGTTTCAGTGTTATCATAATCTACATTTAGTATGCACACAATATTTCTCAGTCTCTGGGTCAGAATTTTATTATTACTTCTTTGATTTTCAAAAAAAATTTTCTTCATCAGAAATCTTAAGTGAACCGAATGGTAAAGAAGATTTATCCAAAACACTTGGCAAGCTGAGAGCAGATCAGTTGGGTGAGTTGAATGTTCTGGTTGGCGAAAATAAGTTATTCGTACAATGATCGAACTTATGTTACTACAACAAGTGATGTGTTTTTGTTATTAATATGTAATTTAAAACTAAAGTGAATTTTCAAAAGTTAATGTTTGAAGACTAAATATGCTGCATGCATGGTCACAGATTCTTGTATATCCTTGGAGTACATTTTTTTTTTAATAATTTTTTTAATTATTGCAATTTTTATTAACAGTTATGACAACATTTAGACATAAATTTATGGGCCATGCATGTATACTATCTCTTAAATTGAAAATTTTAAGATTTGAAATCATCCATTGGCAGATTTACTGAAACATCTTTGTTCTCTCAGCTACCACATCACCTGTTAACCCTTGACCTAATCATCTTCTATGCCATGCTTGCGTTTATTTTCAGATGCCATAATGAAATTTGCCATACACTGGAACACTAACTCCAAACACTGTCACCACGCACAGACCGTGCTTCAACTCATTCTGTGTTCAATTTCACCGGATGATCTCATGGCGTACCCACATGCTAAGGAGTGTGTGCAAGCATTTCTGCCGTACACTGGTATGTATACTGCCCTCAAGTGGTGAATTAACAGTAACTTTTGTTTTTATCAGTGTTTATGATTTGGAGACAATAGTTAAAATTATACAGTGTATAGAGTGCGTTACTATCTATTCAGCTTGCTATACCAGCTTTATGTGAAAATACAGTGATAGTAACAGAGCTGCTGAACAACAAGAATAGTTTTTCCTCCAGTCAGTAATAATAATACATGTAATAATTAGCATTTTCACTATATACTTTTAGAGCGGCATTTCCAGAGAATGAATCGGTTGCTGCAACAATCAATGTTTATAGAGTATACTTGGCACAAGATGAGAATGGTGGCTGGAGACACATCAAGGTGAGAGAACCTAAGAATATACGAGGAATTTACATTTTACAAGAATGCAGTTTATTTTCTCCCAAGTGGCATGCACATGCTGCTTCTTTGCTATGTTTATAGTTTGTTATAATCCACATTATACTGAAGTGAGTGACCCTATTAGCTATGGTGTTTTGTCTATGCTGTCCCATTTCTGTTTACAGTACACATAATGCACCTTCATTATCGATGTTATAAGTTTGATATTTATGGGTGTTTTTTTTCATTCACAGTACTAATGTCGCCATGGAGATACATCAGCCAGCATTTTCGGTTGATAAAAGTAAATCTATGGACCAATCAGATTCAGATAACAGTAGCCAATCAGATGAAGATGAGAAATCTGTCAGCCAATCAGATTCTAGTTCTGCTGCTGAAGACAACCAATTAGTTGAGAAAAAATTCAATAACCAATTAGACTCTGATGACAGTAGCCAATCAGATTCAGATGAGGCTGCCGAGGATGCTAATTCAGTCAGCCAATCAGACTCTCAGGATGAATCAGCTGACCAAGCTGAGATAAAGCGACTCAGGACTACTAAATCAAGGACTAAGAAAATCAAACCGATGCAGATTGATAAAATTGAAAGTGAAAGCGAATCAGAAAATGAAATTAAAATTCGTAAGCATGAGAAAACTGCAAGTAAAATGTCACTTAGGACTCGGATGAGTAAGAGAAAGCACTTAGAAAATGACAAATCTCGCAATGTAGTTCACGACGAGAAAGAAAATGTTCCTTCAGACGATGAAGATGTGCCTCAGCAGAGAAATGGAATGAGACTAAAGCGAAAAACAATCAAAAAAGTATCTGAGGTGAGAAATTATCTTCAAATATCTTATAAACAAACACTGGTTATTACCAGAGTTTTATTTCTCACATGTGACCCACACCAAACACAACATGGCATGACGACTGTGGCATATTAATGATGACCTTACTATGGATTTATCTTATTTTGTCAGTCAATTACAAGTGTTATGTTGCCATGGTGACTTACAAATGTCATTTACACAGTTCTCATTAAATAGCTGACTGAGTTCTTCCCCAGGGTCCATAGTTTTGGGAAAATCCTTTGAAAGTCTTTGGATTTTTTGAGGTCTGGAAAGTCTTTGAGTTCTTCTTAAATTACAGGAAAAATAAAAAAAATCTTTGAAAAGTCTTTAAATTTCTTCATAGTTATTACCTGGTAATTCATTTTAGAAAGCGCTGTTTTCTCTGCATAGTCTTTTTTTAGCTCCGCTGATTGTCCGTCGTTGCCGTCGTCAACTTTACATTTTCGACTTCTTCTTAAAAACCACAAACTGTATAGCTGTGAAACTTTCTAGGAAGGTACCTTGGGTGGTTCTCTCTCAAATTTCTTCATTTCGTGTGAATATGTTCAATTGTCTTATTTATAGAGAATATTTTTGTCATTTTTGGGCAAAAATGCTATTTTCCACTTCTTCTTGAAAACCGCTAGCCTGAATGCTTTGATACTTGGTATGTAGGTATCTTAGGTGGACCTCTCTCAGATTTGTTCATTTCGTGATGATATCTTTAATTCTCTGATTTTCATGAATATTTTTGTAATTTTTTGGTAAAGTGATATTTTCGACTTCTTGTTAAAAACCGTCTAATTGCTTTGATATTATATATACTACATAGGCATACAGGTAGACCTCTCTCAGATTTGTTCATTTCGTGATGATTTTGTTCTTCAATTATCTAATTTTAATGAATATTTTTGATAAAAAGTTATAAAAAGTCTGATTGCTTTAATACTATACATATTGTTCATTTTCGAATGATATCTTCTGTTCTTTAATTGCAATGTGTATTGATAACAGCGGAGCTATCTCAGCCAACAGGCTGCTAGCTATAAAGTATTTTAAGGGTCAAAATGTCTTGGAAAAATCAGAGGGTCTATGGAAAAATGCAAGAAAGTTTGGGAAAAGGTCTGGAAAAGTCTTGGAAATCATTTGGCTCTTGGTGCTATAGACCCTGTTTCTTCATGGTGAATAATTGTGAACACAGGAAATTAACTCAGAAGTCGCTGCTCAGCACATATTGCTTACACTTATGATTTAATCCGCATATGCATGTATTTCAATACAGGTTTTCCTCCAAAAGGCACTTATAAGTTCTTATAGTTTTACACAATAATTAGTTTTAGTTTTTTAGTTGCATATTCTGAAAGATAGTGAATAAAACAGCATATCAGATTGAGTACCATAGCCTTGCGTTCTTCCATGGTTTATAATGCAGACAGACACAAAATTGTACATTTTCAAAGTAATACTGCCCTCTGTGGTCAGTATCAATAAACTTTTGTTTAGGAAAATTATTTTTCAAATCTGAACATTTTGCAAATATTTTGCAAATTAATCCTGCTGAGCATTATGATGTAACATTTGTTTAGATGGCACTCTGTACTGTGGGTCAGTACTCTTCCCAGAGTAGACATTCAGTGCCATTGAGGTGTTGCCACCCTGTAACTTACACTATGTATCTTGTAGTCATGTGAATCTGTGATAATTGCACGTGTATTCTTTAGACTTAAATAATTGAACATATCAACATAGTATTCTATTATTTATTTTATTTTTCGTTTCAGGTTTCCTTGGTTACACCCAAGACAAAAAAGAAAATACCATCCCAAAAAGTTATGGAAGTAACCAGTAGACGATCTCTGAGAAAACGAAAATAATTACGATGTAATTTAATCAGTTAATTAAGCAAAGAAATAAATTTTCTTTCTTTTACACAATAGCTCAGATTTATTGACATAATTGTTACAAATTATCTGTATTAGAAGCAGTAGTCGCACCTATTCTTTTTAAACAATTGAGAACCCAAAATTCATTGTTTTGCATATGTGTACATACAGCCACATCCCATGTATTGTACCTGCGGCTTCTAATACAGATTTTACAGTATTATTGATTAAAAGTGGTGGTCACCACTGAACATAACTATAAATGGCCCCTTTGAGTAGTTGCTTTTGGTAGCAGATACAAACCAACAATTTGTCATAAATGCCCAAACTGTGATTTTTACTGTAAGGGCATTTTTCCTCCATAAACATCTACTTAACATTTCAATAGAATTTGTTTTAAACTGAAGTAAAACACCCTTGAAATAAGCAACACTAATTCTATTGTGTTTTGCCCACAGTTTTGAAGTACCGGTTATGTTTTGTTGCATCATGTATTTAATTGGCTAAATATAGCTCGCTACAGCGAGTTGAATCCATCACTCTGTCCATACATAAGAAACTTGCAGCGATCGACTGACAAAAAAGGTGAAACCAAGTCGAGGGTTGCGATTTACTATTCATGGGTGAAGAAAAGCTGAGAAAATGTGCAAATTAATCTGACATTGATAAAGCTGCAATGTTTTTCAGTAAATAAACCCATGTGTGTATATATGCTTTTTCTCCATTTTCAATGCATGGGTCAATAAGGCAGGAGTCGCTGTATGTGGTAGACACTTACCGGGTTATACTACAAGTTTTATTCAATCTTCGTTAATACAGTGGGTGTAGCAAATAAAGAGTAAAAACCGTTCTTTTTGACTGAAAAAAATGTTTTATTTGTATGCAGGATCAGAGTAAATGTGGACGTACTTTTGAAGGTATCGTTTGAACAGATAAGTCCCTGTTTGTAGGGAGAGATGCACGATTTAAACAAAATTATCGTAGATTTGATGATCATAGCAAAGATAAGAATTTAGAATGCATGCTTTGAAACAAAATATAAGTTCTTTATAAATCTATTTGAAAATATGTGCATCAAGGTTGTTCAATGTACATTGGCGAGTTGCTGGTGTCGGGATCAGAGTAAAAACTACGACTTACTGAGAAGTCTCGTGAAAGAAGGGGGGTTATGCATTGAGAATGAATAAAAGCACATGTACACACATGGGTTTCTTTATTGGATGTCTGTCTGCATGGATTCAACTCATTGCAGCGAGCTTTATCAAGAGAGAACAGCTAGCAGATATGTACAAAGTCGTGACTTCAGGCTGCAAAGTTATCTCCTCCAGCCCTTTAACAATGTGACAAAACATTAGTTCTACTTCAAAACTGGTGCCACCCAACTATGCGCGACTAACCAAATCCGTGGTCATGAAACAGGCAAAATACTGCTGTAAACGCTCATACATACACAACTGTGAATCCATAATTTCTAGTT